GATAACTTTAAAAAAATGTATATAGCAGGGATGGCAATCCTTTTTCGCCTAGCGTGCGAAAAGTACACACTTGCATGCTCACCCTCATAATTTAATGCTGTCTCCTGCTACGTACCCCCTGTGCATGCACGTGTGTCCCCACCCCCCGCTGTCCCGCACATGTGTGTACGCTTTCCTGGAGACTGGGGAGCGCGAAAACAGTCTCCCCTGCCCCCACAGAGGCCCTCCAATTTCCAGTGGGCCTGGTAGGTCCGTTTTCCGCCCTCCCCAGGCTCCAGAGGCTTTCTAGGAGCCTGGGGTGGGTGAAAAATGGCCCAACACGCAAACTGGAAGTTTGGGAATGGACTTCCAGATTGCCCGTTGGGCCGTTTTTCTCTCTCCAGTGGCTTCAGGAGGCTTCCCTGAAGCCTCCCGAGGGTGAAAAACGGCTGAAAATCAAGGCTGAAAATCAGCTAGCCAGCGCGCGCATGCCGGCTGAAGTTAACAGGACAACACCTCGCACACCAGAAATGACTCTGCATGCCATTTGTGGCACGCATGCCATAGGTTCGCCATCATGGGTATATAGAATACTGCTGACTTTTAGGTCAGAGACAATTTTTATTTGGATTTAGTAACTAATTTGTGGTTGTTACTAGAAATAGGCTCTTGTGTAACTTGGTTTTAGAACTTAATTGACCTGCAGGGGTGTAATAAGGCTGACCAGACTAGTGATTATGAGACAAGAGGTTTCCCTTGCAATTAAATAACTCTCCCGAACTTGAAAGCTTTGAGTGCCTGCTTTGAACATGTGCATGCCCAGAAAACATTTCATGAGCAAACTGTTCCTCTGGATCCAGCTATTGGACCCATGAAGCAACTGCAGTCATTTCACTGCTTGTTGTGACAACTTTGGGGCTTTCTGGATGTAAAAAATATATATTAAATAAATACGAGCTAATAAAACTCCCATCACATCCCTGGATTACTAACTAGGGATTGAGTTAGTGAAAATACAGCTTTATAATAAAGTTACATATTTTAAACGTATTTTCACTAAACAAGTAATGTCCATGCTTCTATCTACTTACATAGATTTGATGAATGTGATGAAAGAGATTATCTTTTGAACCAACTATAAAATTTATCTTTGAAGTCTATTACTGTTGTCCACTTTTTTTTAATCAGCAAGGATGTTTCTCTTGATCAATGCCACTGCCTTATCCAATATTTTTACAGCATTGCCTTTCTACCAAAATCAGCAGAGACCACAATGGCAAACTAGAAACGCAATTCTACACACACACAAAAAAAAATCACCCATAACTGATCCACTACCAAAGCAACAACTCAACCTCCCACAAGAAAAGCTGTGTAAGAACTTTATTTAAACAAGCTCAAACATACTGCAGCAACCCAGAATAGCAGAAAAAGGAAACAGAGCATCTCTACAACAAAATAGATACCCACAGGACTTTATCAAAAAATCCCTGACCATTCAACCCAATACAGCACAACCAACACAACCTCTATAAAGAATTACACTGCCATACATCAAGAATATCTCAGAAACCACAAATTGACTACTAAGACCACATGAAATCAGCATAGCACACAAGCCAACTAAAACTCTCTAAAACATTTTAAGCAAACCAAAAGAACTAGTAACCCCAGAAGAAAAAACAGGATTCATCTACAACAATCTAAGAATTGCAACAACCTCTATGTAGAACAAACAGCCAGAAAACTGGCAGAACGCATCCATGAACACCAACTGGCAGTCAGAAGACATGATGAAGATTCTTTAATTTCACAACATGTAGACAGATTTAACCATAGTTTCAACTGGGAAAATATGACAATCCTATACCAGGCCAAGTTCAAAAATGCCATGGTATTTCTAGAAGCCTGGCACTCTGACAAATCAGCCATTATTAGACACATAGACATTAATAACATCTATAGGCTATGCAAAAGAGACAATCAACAGCCCAAAGAATCTCTAAGACCGCGGCCATCCACACAGACAGACAAATCACCAGAATATAAAATGACAGCAAACAGCAGTCTCTATATTAGCAATGATGGTGTTACCTAGTTAAGGGTAATGAAAAATCTGCAAGAAAATAAGCATGCTCAGAGAGCATCAAGAACCCCTCAAATCCTGTTCTTTCTTTATAAGATAAAGAAATTAAATTACTGAAATATCAAAGCTAAACTACAAAATGTAGTGCTTTATCTGAGTTTTATTTTATCTAAATATTCCTCATACAATTCCAATAGGATGCCTTTCCCAATCTACTGGGATTTTCATATTTATGAATTTCACAGGATTTTCATATTTATTATAAAACCAGTATAAATTGGAAAAAAAACCTGTCAAAGCAGAAAGAAAAATCATTCATGCTGAATTTAAAAAATAAAATAGTGATAGCACTTGGCAATATCACTTAGACTTATATACCGCTTCACAGTGCTTTACAGCCCTAAGTGGTTTACAGAGTTAGCATATTGCCCTCAACAATCTGGATACTCATTTTACCCACCTCGGAAGGATGAGTTAACCTTGAACCTGGTGAGATTCAATCTGCCAAACTGCTGGCAGCCAGTGATCCGCAGAAGTAGCCTGCAGTACTGTACTCTAACCACTGCGCCACTGTGGCTCTTCTCAACTAACCTAACCTTTTCGGACTATAAGACACACTTTTGTCTCCCAAGAGGGTCAAAATGGCTGTGTGTCTTTTAGACTGAATATTGCCGAAGTCCCGCCCACCCACCGGTCTTTTTTTGGTGTTTGCAGCCCCTTTTTCAGGACTTTTTTTTTTTTTTTTTGCTTTTTTCGGCCTTTAAAAGCTTTTTTTGCCTGTTTTTGAGGCTTTTCTTGGCCTGTTTTCAAAACTTTTTCAGCCCATTTTGGAGGGTTTTTTTCAGCCTGTATTTTGAAGTTTTTTTTCGGCCTGCTTTTCTTTTTTGGCTTTTCTTGGCCTATTTTTGAGGTGGGGGGTTTTTTGGCCCATTTTTGAGGTTTTTTTGAGGCCATTTCCCCCCCAAAAATGCTTAAAAATGGCTTTAAAAAGCCTCAAAAATGGGCTGAAAGAAGCCTTGAAAAAGGGCTGAAAAAAGCCTCAAAAACATGCCCAAAAGCCTTTAAAACAAGCCACAAAAGCCTCAAAAATGGGTAGAAAAAAGGCTGGAAAAGGGCCGAAAAAAGGCTTCCAAATAAGGGCCAAAAATGAGGTGCACAAAGGCCAAATCTCCCCCATTTTTTGTTTTCCTCTTCTAAATTTAGGTACGTCTGTCAGGTGCATTTTATCATCTGAAAAATATGGTAGTAAGGTAGAAAACAACTAATTCAAAACAAGATACTATCCACTTCATTTAGAAGTGAGTTTTAGTCTCCTCATTTGGGCTTATTCTGATAAATAAACATATGAGGGTAACCTTAACTTCCATTCAGGCTCTCATGAGAAAGCTAGGGCTAAGCAGAACGATGGAAGAGCAAAGTAGTACAGTTCTAGAAACAGTCTAAGAAACATGATTAAAAGCTCTGTAACACATAGAAACCTCCCATATAAACTAGGACCTTTATATACAATTCCAATTCTTAACAGCTGTATCAAGGATATAAAACCTGTGCTGTCACATTGCCATCACATGATGTATCATGATGTTTTCCCCTTGGTGGAGCTGGGGTGGGCATGGCCTACACGAGATACATCCACCCTGCAGTCCACCAGTTTGACACTCCTGAGCTATACTATAATATTTCAAATGCTTTATAAGATAGAAAAAATAAATACATCAGTGAGTTCAAAAGAATTATAAAATATGGGTAAGAGAATAGAGGGGATATCTGATAATGAATTATAACAAATTCAAAACATATTTTGTGCAGATGTCCACATCCAATGTCAGATAATTTTACTCCCTTCTTTTCCTGTGAAACTTCTCATATTCCCTCAAAGATTATGTTCTACCTAGAAGACTGTAACTGAATATACAGAACATATCATAGAGAAACAGCAATATACCAACAATTTACAAAGTAAATAAATACACTTGTCCAAAAATGAAAATGGCAGAATATACTGGTTCCCTATCAACATCAATGAACTTTACCATTTATTTCTAAAATCTATCAAACAAATAACAATTAATGGTTGGTAAATTCAAGACCCTGATAAAACCTGTCTTTAAAAAAATCAATCACAATATGCTTCTCAGAAAAGTGTAAACTAACAAAATTTTGTTGTGTGTTTTATTGTAAGATTGGCTCCCACTTTATCTTTTGTAAGGGCCTGAAGATGTGATTTTGCCAACGTGGACTCTAGTGATAAGGAGCCCCACTGGAAGTAGTGGGTTATCGGTTTTTCTACTGCAATTTTATCCTTATAATCCGCCCGGAGTCAACAAGAGTGATCTGTGTGACCACATAAATTTTCTTAATAAATAAATAAAAATTGAGAACATTCAAGGTAAAAAAATACATATTGCATATTTGATCCTGGAACAAATTGGGCAATGAGACAATTTCTGAAACATTAAAAAAAGTTACTCGTGAATATCTACAAAATTTGCTGGAAAACCTATCCATCCATACATCTTACCTTTTCCATTTATTGTTAATGCAGATGCAATGGTAGCTGTTACTGGCACTGGCAATTGTGGCACTAATGAATGTATTCTTGGCCTGCTCCCCATTCTAGCACGTTCTTCTCCAGGACCTAATAAAGCTCCAACTGGTTTTTCTGCTGCCACCTCGGGGGCTACAGAATCTTCATGATCCTGCTCAATGCGATCCAGTTTATCAGGACTTTCATTCTGAAAGCCATCTACTGCTGTCCGACTCTTTATAGGACTTTTGGGCACAAGAATTTTTATACCTGATTTTGAAAGGTCCATGTTTTTTCTACCAGAGAGAGGAGTGTTGTTTTTCCGAAACTTCTGAGCAGCAAACAGTTGATTTTTTGATTCATGGTCTTTTCCAATAACTAAGGACTTGGAGGATTTTGAAAAAGAACTATTAGTAGATCGAGAAATTTGTTTTCTTGCATTATTTGGAGATGTCCTGTTTGTCCTTGTTAATGTGCTTTCTTTTTGTTTTTCATTGTGATGTCTGTTAAATTCATGTATATATTCTTCACAATTCACAAGGTGCTGTTCAGGTTCCCATGTGTCATCTTCACTCTCATAGCCTTTCCATCGCACTAAATATTCCGTTTTTCCTTTCTTGTTTTTTCTTTTATCAACAATTCTCTCTACCTGTTGAAAGAATTAGAGATGGCAATGAAGATGTACTTGTGAATGTTTAAACATGAATGTACAATGAGGCAATTTGAAATACAGAACCTAGAAACAATTATATTTTGTTTCAATTGTACCAATTAATTTTGGCAATCAGTGAAAATAATTGTATACTCTTTATTAGTAAGCTCAAGCAACCTTAAATGTTGACAAATGCATGAAAGTATGCAATAAATTATATGATGATGACTAAAAAGAAAAATCGTACTAATATCATACACATTTTTAATATTGTATGCTGCCTGGAGTCATAATGTATGGGGCGCCCATATAAATTTACTTAACATATAAATAATAAATATTTGACATTCTGTGATGGGAAGAAGTCTGCACCTTCAGTTATATATCAAGTATTAATATGTTTATTGCCATCATAACTAGAATGCCTTACTCTCAGTGACATAACCCTAAGCTTATACAAAGAGAAAACAAGATTATAATCATTGGTGAACATGTATCTTTGGATGTTGGGCAACTCATGAATTTATTATCTTATCTTTATCTTTAAATGTTGAAGGAGGGGAAATAGCTTTTTAATGGACAAATAAAGGATGCAAAATGTTTTAAAATTCATTATTAATGTCACCTTTCAATATTACTACCAACTCATTAAAGTCATAGAACATAAGATAAAATAAACTTCTTAATTTGACAGAAATGTAAACCATAATAGTGTATAGTGGAAATCAGTTCTTGGTAAATTTAGATATAGATATAACTTGATATATTACTGTTATTCACATATTAATCATATTGGAGATAACCAAAATAATACATCACATTTCCTCTTGATGTCCTATTTGAATTCTCAGTATAGTGTCTCCCTCTACTTATGCTTACCATGAGTCGAAGGTTTATAAAATACTTGGCTTTCTATTTTTTCTAAAGTAGAACTCTGTTAATATTTCCACAATAGACCCACTCAAAAATGAAACTAATATCTATAAAGTGGCTACAAAGAGAATATGACAATAAAGAAACACTAAAATCTGGGATGCCTTAAAATCGGATGGAAATTTAGTTTTAAATTTTCAAACCAAGTGTTTTAATTATTGTAATGATCACATTATTTTTAATATGCTTAAAATATATTTATTAGTTCTGAATTTAGTTATTTAAAATATTTTTCTTGGTGTGTTTTCATAACAAATATTTCAACACTGAATACCTGACACTGCCATAAATAGCCTGTTGCCTGCTCCCATAAAACAGAATGTCATAATGGAGATGTTGTTGATAGTATAGAATTCTTTGCCTTATAATATTGCATATTCTATAGATTTAACAGATTATACCATTTTACTAAGTAGCAGGATCTGTATAGTTATAATACATGAGCATTTCATACAAGAGCATATTGTTGCTACATAACTTCCACCTATTTTTTCATCATTTGAGGAGCTACATCTTGCAAAAATCATATTCAGTGTTATTTCTCCCCAATCAGAAATATTGACTCATGGAATGCATATAGTATAGCAAAAGCGATTCCTTTCTACAAATTCAGCATTCCTACATCGTGGTAAGTTTTTCAGTGTATTATATAAATCACTTCTATCAAAATATAAAATTATCATACAAATCCATTGAAATGAATCTGCTGAGATAAGCATAAATTTATCATATTCTCCAAAGCACCTGAGGGTAGAACAAGAAGCAATGGGTGGAAACTAATCAAGGAGAGAAGCAACTTAGAACTGAGGAGAAATTTCCTGACAGGTAGAACAATTAATCAGTGGAATTAATTAAAACAGTTAGAACAATTAATCAGT